GAGAGAGAGAGAGAGAGAGAGAGAGAGAGAGAGAGTCACGTCATCAATGAAAATCGTCAACGCGGTTAGGGAGGACAAGCAAGTCGTCCTCATCCTCCAACTCCTCCTCCACTCGTGGCGTTTCCTTGGTGTCACTGTCCCCATCATCAGCCGCATCGACTGCATCTGTCGCCTGCGACGTGGCTGTGTCGCCGGGCACAGCCACAGTCAGCAGCTCATCGACCCAACTGCAAACAAACGGTTTTTGGAACACCCCCGCCGCCACCCTATCTCGCCAAKACCGATCGTGGGGCTGCAAGATCCTGCGGCGAACCGTCCGCCGACGATGCGTCACGCTGCTTTCTTTGCGCCCCACGATGGCGAYCGGCGGTYTCACAGCGTTTGTATTCCAGTGCAAAATGGCACATGCAATACGAGCACAGAAGGATGCCGTGTAATGGATCCTCTTTGTCGCATACTTGTTCACAAGTGCGTGAAAACACTCACAATTGTGAGTGAATCGGTATCGCGTGTAGTGCATCATTTTTTTGGACGACGCAMAACTTCCAAGAAAATCTGAAACTGCTTTGGATGTTGGTCCGTCCTCCTCATACCGGGGACGACTGGTCGGTCCACCGACTATCCTGCAAACGTCTGTCAGACCGTGTGCAACACAGCCAGTGTGGTTCCCCCCCCAATGCTTCACCAAAACCTGCATGTCATCGGCAATTTGCCTCCCCAAAACTGCATCGTCTGCGCACTCGCTCGTGCTACGGAGCTTGCACACGGCATAAAACCACTCTCTGAGGTCCTGCCCACATCCCGACCCAGCGAGCCCAGGGTGTGCCTTCCTCAACCCTGCCTATGCATCAACATCCTCCTCGGCTCCGCTCCCATGCCGAGCAAACCATATTTTCCGTGACAAATCCGCCACCTTGGCTGTGGACGGCACAGCCTCACCTCGTTCCCTCAACCATGTGCGAAATTTTTCCTTACGAATTTTCTTCAGCTCTTCGTACGTGTCGCAATCATCGACCTCTTTGGGCAGCTCCCTCCTCGCCATACACAACTGTTCCTCAAATCGAGCCGCCAAGTTTTTCGCTTTGTGCCACATATCCTTTTGGTCCCGCAGCCCGAGTTCCTTCAAAACGGCATAAACTGAAGCCTTGTCGTCATGGACCACTTCTTGTATCGGCAAGTTGTGCACTCGAAGCAAGCGTATCAAGACATTCCGGGTTGCAGTGGTTTCCAATGTCCACGACGACTCCCCTGGCCGTTTTCGGATCATCTCGACACCGAGTATTAGTCTGGTATCATAATGCATAACTGTCACTGTACAGTGCGTTGCATCACGAGACGAGTCATACCGGCCGTCAAGAAGAACGGTTATGTTGGAGTATTCTTTCCGCACGCGCTCAACGGCCTCCGTCATATCTTTCTCAGCAGTCCGCTGGGCCACGTCACACCACCAACCATTGAAGCCATACATGCCATGACTGAACATGTAAAACGACGTCTTGTGGACGCCGCACATGCCCAGCGCAAGGCAAAAGTCGGTCAACGTGGTGTATCCCATTCCGCAGCTGAGGGCCGCATGATACATCTGGCTCGTCACTCGGCTACTCAACTTCGTGTTCTCCAGCTTTGATGAATGCCATACCCACTGACAACCTGGACGACAACGCAATGTTAGAATGACAATCTGCCTAGAGTATCGAATTCCGGACACCCGAACAACACCATCATGACCGTGCACAGGGCAGCAAAAGGTAAAAAAAGAAAGCAGCTGGAGAATTTTTGGAGGCTCGCTAAGAACGACATCGGGCCGATTGTCTCCTTTCCATTTCCGAAGGTCGGTCATGACTGCGTCATGAGTCACCAGTGGGCCGAACTCAGGGCAGTACGGACTCCCATCAGTCCATTTCACCGTTTCATCAAACATTCTACCACTGGGGGCAGATGGATTGTTGCCAGGCAGGGTACTTGTACCCTGTCTGATGCATGGACGAGGACACGAGGCAGCTGAGCTGCCGAGGGACGTGTTTCGCACACATTCTGCGGCAGGGGTGCCCTGCGGCATTTTGTCAATCTTAGTTCTGCACCAGTCGAGCAAAGTCCCGAGGACATCGGTCRACGTGATATTCGCTCCCCTTTCCATTGCTAGTCCCCTCGCTACGTTTTGGAAGCGTCCCAGCATGGCCCTGGAAACGGTGATCGTGCTCCTGTGGGGGGATGATGAACGGGGCGTAGCAGTATGTGGGCTATTTCCTCGTTGCCATTGACGGGGAGACCGCCACTCGACTGGATCGGACCCCCCACCGACGGCCGTGCTTGGACGCCCAAATGTCCACGTTGCCTTTTGCCTGCGGATGTTTCGCAATATGCGGGGGGCGACCGGGACTCGTCATGCGATTGCGAAGGTGCAGACATGACGTTGAGAAGACGAAGAAACTGTGTGGGGGGGGGGGGGGGGGGGGAGTAGCGGGTGTTAGAGAGTGTTAGAACGAGAAGATAAACAAAACAGTCTTTTAGCAAACAGAGCAGTTGAAAAACATGATAAGATGACTGCGCACAACACTGCACAGCTCGTCAACACGACAAAGTTCAAAATTCGAGCAGCTGCAGGCAATGTGATCAACCCCTTCAGTCAGTCCAGGACGGATAGTCTTTCGTTGCCACAAAAATGTAAATAAATAAATGAATAAAAAGATAAGGAAAACAGGAAAAAAAAAAAAAGGTGTGTATGGAAATTTCCCGGAATTAACCACAGAAATGAAAACACAGAGCTTTCTTAGAATTATTCTTCAGCTAAGCCATGAACGAAATAAATAGACTTATTTTTATTTTTTTTTCAGTTTGTTTTGTTTTCTGTTTTCAATCCTCTGGATGCACACATGCATGAAATTTCTCAAAGCTGTTGGCAAAATTCCCGCAAGACACAGGCTTTATTCTGTTTTGTTTTTTCATTTCTTTTGGGACCTGCAGAAAATCTAAAACGCAAAGCTGGAATAGGATAGGATACAAAAAGAAAAAGAAAAAAAAGAAAAAAGAAAAAAAAAACGGATTTCTGCCGCCTGATGACCCTCTCTCTCTCTCTCTCTCTCTCTCTCTCTCTCTCTCTCTCTCTCTCTCTCTCTCTCTCTCTCTCTCTCT